GGGGGGGGGGTTGCTAAACCTACAGATATTTTAACTGCCTCAAAATACAGCCATCTGACATATGTGTGAAGTGAGGACATGGTTTCCAAAGGACTCAGAACAAGTGTTTGCAGAAGTTAAAAAAGAGTCTAAGCCACTAAACCCGCAGGAGTGAGGAGTCCCTTCACAATGCGAGCACCAGGTTTCCACATCAAATACGCCCGCCCGCCGACCCCGAGCTCCCACCGGCTGCTCCGGCCGGCAGAGCACACGCAGCTCCCGCAGGCGCTCTGCCGCGTAGCCGAAGTCCGCCTGGGTCCAGAACGTGTCCTGAGCTGACTCCAGGGTGTCCGTCCTGTTTGCAAACAAAGACATTCTGTCACTTTTTTTTCTTTTTCCTTCTTCTGAAACTTAAATCTTCTTTCTAAAGGTTAAATTGCTATAAGTTTTTCACTAACTTTTTTAAGTAAACTATCATAGTTTTCCTAAAACGATCCGTTGCTACATGAAGTTACCAAAATGTTATTTACAGACGTGATACAAATACACACATAAATATATGAAGTTAGGGACTAAAGAGAATGGACTATTAATTACTGGATTTTCCTCACTCCATTAACCATGCATGTGCTTCTACTTCTCTATCACCATTTACCCCCTCTGGGCCCCCTCCCACCTCCCTCCAGCCCCTCCCCAACCTTGCATGTACTGAAAATAGTAATTATGACCGGGAACTCAAGAAGTTAAACATTGTAGCTTCAGTTATATAGTTAATAGGCTTGGTGATTAGTGCCTGGGGAAAGCTATTGTTCCAGGGACTGGAATAGATGACTGACTTCAGAAGACCTGCAAGCAATTGGACCTCTGTGCCCCAGGAGGACTGCAAGCGCCCAAGATGGTACGTAAGCCACTGTGCTCCGGGGAGAGGGCATCCACTGCCCAGGATGCCCTGGGCAGCAGGTGAAGGGATGCTCAGAAATCAGGGAGTGCAGCTTTTACCTGATTAATCTTTTTCCCCGAATCCCAAACCCCTTTCCTACGTTCTCCTGAATTCCAAACCCTTTATCTCCACTTTGGTAAGACGGCCTTTAGGGTACATAACCCTCTGTCTGCTCAGATCACCGCCACCTGAATAAAGCGCCCATAAAGACTTAATTCCTGTCTCTACTTACTGGTTTTGGTAGTGACAGGTAGCCAACTTTTCCAGTTTCAATTACACTTAACTTTTCCCTCCAGAATCATGAGGAAAACATCAATTTAGCTTCTTAGTGCTTGCTGGAAGGAAATATTTTCTGTGACCTATGTTGTTTCTCCCTCTGGCAGGGGAAAACACAGATATTCCTGAGGTGGGGGGCGTCCAATTGAGTCCATGACTGTGTAAACAAATTGATATCTAAAGGAATTACTATCTAAAACCAAAATAGCCTAGCGGGAAATCGGGGCATGAGCATATACTGCAATGAAAGGGGACTAAAGGGGAGGCATTATTCCACCTGGAAACTTACCATCCCATGTCCACGTAGGTGCAAACGGGGTAACTAAACCTGAACTCTGGTCTGCAGGACTCCTCATAACCCCAGCAGTACTTCAGATTTCCTAAGTGTTTCTAGAACATAAAACGTGTGCATTTAGACTGGGCTCCGTTCTTCTGACGTTTAGAGAGGACTCCTAGATTTTTCCATGAAGAAACAAAGCTTTATAGACTTTCACTTTTATATTTTACGATACATACTCACGCAATAAAAATAACTAGAGTAAATTCTAAGAATAGTAGTCTTAAGACTCCTAACAACAATTATCGTTAATCACCACCCCACCCCAGGTCTATCCCCTAACCAAATGTCTAGGCTTTACCTAGACTACCAAAGACCACTTGAACTGAAATTTCTAGAAGCAGCTTCATGAAACAGCCTTTCTGGGTGAGCAAACTGATTCCAAAATCAGTCCCTAAAATCATCTAAAATGGAATTTCCGTCACCAAAAGAATCACAGTTCAATTAAATGCATCAGCAACTTCACTCATCCATCAAGATCAACAGAGATCCCACTAGACATGGAAAGCCCTGCTGCCATCAGGGGACACGGCGGCTGCTGATGGCCAGAGAGCCTGGAAAGCTCTTGCAGGCGGCCAAGAGCTGCGGGGTCTGTTCCCAGGCTGCTCCTCCGCAGGCTTCCTGTGCCAGCACCGTGGGAAAGGAAGTTCCACATGCCCAGCTTTGATCTCTAGGGCCCATGAGCTGCCTCAAAGGGCCTTTCCAACAGCTCTAAACAGAAGGAAAGCCACAGCAGCTATCTTAATTACCTGGGGGCGAGGGGGAGTGTTATTTTCAAAATTAAGTGCTAAGAGCCCTCTTAAGTGCAGCTGAGGAAAGAAGAGGTGTGGAGTGTGGAATTCTTTAGTTACTTTTAACTAGATATTCTTTTGTGCATAAAATCTAATTTGATTTATTTATGGAGTGAGTATACAAAGAGTGCTGGTTACCTATTTACTTTACCAGTGACTTAGATTTTAAATCTCACTGCTGTGAGTGGGACATAACTTTAAACAAAGTTTGGTCACTTAGAAGCACTATATAAAAGACAATGATCGCCCCACAGCTACAACCAAAAATAAAATCCCAACTTCAAGCAGAATTAGTAAACTAGTCTGCACTGCACACTTTTAACAAACAAGAGAAGAAATAGCACGTACCTTGTAAGGGCAGAGCGGGTCTTCCTCACAGGCCTTGGCAATGTGCCCGTTGCTGTGCAAGAAGAAGGGGATGTGCTCCTCAGGCAGGCGGATGCTGCCGTAGTCAAAGAGAGGCTCGCGGGGGCCGGGGCCGGGGCCGCTGCGGGCCGGGGGAGAGGCCTCATGCTGGCTGCTCAGTGGGATGTCATGAAGCAATATTCCAAAGACAAGCAGCACTAACATAGCAACCTCCAAACCTAGAGGTCAATTGTAAACACGTCCCTTAAGACATATCCTTTAAAAATCAAAGGGGTCAAGGGCTAAGCACAATTACATGAACGCTGCTACACCTGCTACACCGAGTGCTGTCCTTTTATTCAATACATAAGTATTGTGCACCTGCTGTGCGCCAGGCACTGTGCTAGGACCTGCTACACTAAAACTTTTTAACTTCCATGACTGCAAGCCTTTTTATAAGAAAGGTTTTATTGAGCCCGAGATGCTAGCCAAAATGAAGACAGTCTTGGGGCACTGAGTCTAAACCCCAGCAGCATGGCTACGCAGAACAGGGCATGTCAGTCATCCCGGAGTTTTGCACGCGTTAGGGGCAGGGGGAAGGAGGTCCGGAAGAATTTACAGGAGCTACCGGCAAAGGAGTTGGGGGTGCTGGGCCCGGGCTCTGGGCCAGCAGGGTGGGCGGGAGCGGAGGCAGAGGCCGCAGGGGGCAGCTGGGCCGGGTCAGAGAGCACACGTGTAAACAAGCGGGCACCTGGGGTCATTGGTGTCTGGATAAAACCACCTGCAGAATAACCACCTGGAAATGAATCCCAAATCCCAACAGGCAAAACAGGAATGGGAATCGTTTTCCTCAGCTGGCCCACATTCCCAGACTAACGGCTGTCTCTTTCTCACTCTCCGGCCCTGTAATTTAATTGATAACATTTCAGAATTTTTTTTTCTTATCAGAGCTAAGAATACAGGGGAGAACAAAGCAAGCAAGACCCCTGCTCTCAGGGAGCTTGCAACCTAGTGCAAGACATAAAATAAACAATCAAATAAACGCACAACTTCAGATGATAAGGGCTGTGTCTCGAATAACCCAGGGGCCGGTGAACTTTGTCTGGAAAGGGCCAAGGAGTAAACGTTTTCTACTTTGCAGGCTGTAGTCTCTGTGACAAATACTCCACAGTGCCTCTGTCAGGAAAGCAGCATGGCCTCTGCTAACTGCAGGGGTATGGCTGTTCTAATAAAATTTTATTTACAAAAATGGGAGGAAGGCCTTGATATGACCCAGTTTGCTGATGCCTGAAATAAAGGTAGTGTGACAGACAACACAGCATGGTGGTCAAGAACGTGACTTTAAAACCAGACCAACTAGGTTTGAATCCAGCTGCAGCTTGCTAAGCTGTACAACCTTGAGCAAGTTACTTAACCTTTCTGTGCCTTAGTTTTTCCATCTGTAAAATGGAAATTATAATAAGCCATCCTCATAGGGCTATTGTGAGTTAAATACTGGTAAAGTGTTTAGATGTACCTGGTGTGTCAAATTCTGTGCAAGTGTTTATTAAGTAATGTTGAAAGCCATGTTGGATGGGGTGCAGGGTGCTCAGTAACATTGGAGCTGAGACCTGAATGATGAGGCGCAGGGAAGACATTCCAGGGAGACAGAAGAAAAGGAAGTGCTGGCTCTGAGCAAGTGTGCATCTGTGCGCAAAAACTAACAATCACAGCCAGCATGTGAGAATATAGCATGTGCCAGGTACTGTAAGTGCCAAGGACATAGCCATGAACATGCCGTGAAGCACTGAACTCCTTGCCCTGTGAAGCTTGCACTCTCCTGGCTGTAGTAACAATCTGTGGTAGTAGTAATAGCGATGACTTGGAAAACTCCAGGAGTGCAATCCAGGCAGTCTGCCTCGGAGTCTGGGCCCTTAAACTCTGCCTGTCCTGCTTCCGGATTGAGAAAGGAGAGAATGGTTACAGACTTTAGTGCATTTCTAACTCACCCCATAAGGATTAATCTCTTGGACTAGATCTCCCCTACATATCATAGGCAATAATCACAGTATCACAGACAATATATCATAAGCAATAATCATTTTTGGTTCACTTTAGTGGGATCTTTTCTCTATTTAAAAAAAGTGCTCTTTCCACAGATGCATTACACCTTGGCCGCTTCCCGGCTAGGTCTGCTGTCACCGCCGCACACTGGAAAAACCCACCTTTCAAAATCAGTCTTCATTAATCGTGGGCAGTAAAGATGGGGCTTTTAGAGACAGACTCCTGTGATCCATCAAGCCTCAACTTCCCAGGCCAGCAGATCATCTCTGAACATGGGGACACCAAGAAACCCTTGCCCTCTGCAGTGCTAAACATAGCGGATGTTCTGTTAGGTGGAGCTAAAGAGTATACTGTTATTTGTTGTAAAGGTAATCTGAATTAATCTTTTTGGTTAGGACTTTTATCAAACAGTGAGTTGATTGCAATTTTATAAAATTTAGAAGTACATATTAGCCCTGACCAGAGTGGCTCGGTTGGTTGGGCATGTCCTGTGCACCGAAGGTTGGGGGTTTGATTCTACATCAGGGTACAAGCCTGGGTTCCGGGCTCCATTACAGGTAGGGGGTGTGCAGGAGGCAGCCAATTGGTTCTTCCCTCTCACATGGATGTTTCTCTCTCTCCCTCTCCCTTCCTCTCTCTAAAAATAAATTTAAAAATCTTTTGTAAAAGTGCATATTAATAGAAACAGTGTCTTATAATGAAAATATTTATGGCCTTAATCCTCAGGACCACCCAGAAGCTGTTGTAATGTTTCAGATATATAAAACCTGTCAGAAATGAAGCATATTACCTTAAATAGATGCTGAAGTAGATTTTACTATCCAGGTGATAATTTGAATTAATGGAAATATTAAGAAAGAAAATAACTTGATAAGATAAACCTGTAAGCAAAGGGCCTGGCATTTGGTGAGACACGGCCTAAACAGAGGGCCTGGCTCCTGGTGCCCTTTCTCTGGGGTAATGAGCACCAAACTGCTAACAGCAGAGCTACAGGTACCACCCTCAGCAGATTCTTGTGGTGAGCAGGATGGCCACCCTATGCTGGCACAAACTGGGAGCAAACACTCCTGGCAGCAAACCACTCCCCGCATTCTCAGCACCCTAGTGACCCTACTCACTGAGTCACACTCCTGCTGGATTTGAGCCTCAGTGTCCAACAGGCTGGTCATCCAATATTTGACTCATGCTCCCCAGTAATAAAGTCACTGTTGTGACAAAGCCCTCCTGCCCTTTGGTCATCCGAGGGTGTTGTCCTGGACTGAGCCCTAGACATAACTAAGCCCTGGGATCCACGGAGGAGTAAACGCAGGTCATGGGAAAACCTAAAGACAGACCAGAAACCTGCTTTTTGCAGAGGGCATGTACCCACCTGCATAAGCTAGAAGTAGGTGGTGCTCGCGCAAGAAAGCACCCCCGGGCCTGGCCGCGGCCTGCCTGGCGTCAGCCCTCCCGCAAGGCGCCCCGGGGCGGGAATGGGGGCCCTTCTCCAGCAGATGGAAGCTTAGCAGCTGAGCTACTTTTTCCTTAGCACAAAGCAGCCGGTTCCCTCCACTCCTACATCCCTTGACTGGATTTCCAGAGGCCTAAAAGGGGGCAAGAGAAAAGGGGGAGCCTGAAAGATGAGGGGAGAGGCGCCGCGGCTGCCGGGACCAGCGGGCGAGCGGGGCAGCGCTGAGACGCGCGTGGGAAAGCTCAGGAAGGCGGCGCACGGCTGCAAAGCTGAGCGCCCCAGAGCAACGCCCGAG